CCCACAAAGCACAGCTCTTAGACCTTTGGGGCCTGAACTTCTGGGTCTTTCCCTGACATTCTTGCCAAGACTGGGAGGAGCTGGGAGAAGCACCTGGTACAGGCATATGCAGTGTGTCCCAGAGCCAACAGTGTTCTCGAGACCATCTGCTGCCCAGTTCTGACTCCAAAAACAAGTCCCTGTCACCTTAGCTCATCCTGGTCCCACACAGCAGGCGGGGCGGTTATTGTTATCATCCCCATTTTGCAGACTGCACAGCTGAGGCCCTGAGAAAAGAAGCAACTTGCTCAGGTGACACAGCAGGTCTCCTTCCTCCCACATGTGGGCCCTGTGCTGCCACCTCCTCCCTGGCATTCCCTTCTGGAGTCCTCCTGGGACCGTCCCAAGGGAATGGACCAGCGTGACTGGGGGAGTTCTGGCTCAGGAGGCTCAGGGTGGGGTGACTTATGCCCTGGAGCCAAATCTAGCATGCATGCAGGGTCTCAGCCAGAATCTAGGAGAGACTGGAGAATGCGCTCCCCCAGGGTTCTCACCCTCAGCAGAGGGTGGAAAAGGAGGCAGATGTGTCAGCCCGGCCTGCCTGCCTGGGCTGTGATGAATGATATGGTCTCTGGGGAGTAACCCCTGTGTGTGCCCCAGACCTTAGCTAGATTGTCCTGAAAACTGGGAGGGTGAATTCCTTGAGGCACTAGGAAAAGTGCAGCAACAAGGAGGGTGTCTCTGTAGTGTGGAGCTGGAGAGCCTGGTGCATCAGGAAAGGTGTGAACAGACACCGATAAATGCGCTCTGCTTTCCAGAAAGCAATGTGGTAAGGAGCAAGACTCAGAGCAAACCCAGATGTGGATCTGTCACTGGCTGAACTCTGTGACACTAGCATCACTTCTTCACCTTTACAATGGGAGTGATAGCAGTACCACCTCTGGACGTTGTTGGAGATCCATGAACTGATACAAGGAAAGTGCTTGCTACAGTGTTTGGGCTCTGATGAGATCTTCCTACCACAGGTGATCTGCTCTCCTCGGCCTCCCAAAGTACTGGGATTACAGGGATGAGCTACCACTCCCAGCCAGGAATTATTTTTACAAGGCTATTAGAGAGTTTTGCAAAGCACATACAATGAGAGCTCATACAATACACACGTTAACTATGTGTATGCACATATTATGTACAGTGGACCCTTGAACAAGTCAGGGGGTAGGGATGCCAACTCCATCTACAGTCCAAAATCCACATATAACTTTTGACCCCTCAAAATTTAACTGCTGATAGCCTCCTGTTGACCAGAGCCTTGTTAGTAACATGCACAGCAGATTGACACATATTTTTTGTTATATGTATTATATATATACTGTACTCACACAATCAAGTAAGCTAGTGAAAAAGAAAATGTTATTAAGAAAATCATAGGAAGAGAGAATCTATTTGCTACTTATTAAGTGGAGTGAGTCATTATGAAGGTCTTCACCCCCATTGTCGTCACGTTAAGTAGGCTGAAGAACAGGAAGAGGAGGGGTTGGTTTTGCTGTCTCAAGGGTGGCTGAGGCAGAAGAGAATTCACAGATAAGTGGACCCACGCAGTTCAAACCTGTATTATTCAAGGGTCAGCTGTATATATAGTGACACATACTTTTATCATAAGCTTCCTGGTTGTGGGGGATTGAAGGAATTTGGGTAACTAGAATTGTACAGCTCTTTACAATTCACAATTGGCAAAGGCTTCGTTGTCATTTCACATGATTCTCCCAGCAATAGGAGGGCAGTGTTTTTACCTCTACTTGAGAGATGAGGACATTGGAGCTTAGAGAATCAAAATCCTTACCGCCCCCGCTCCCTTTCTCTCTCTCAGAGACAGAGTCTCACTCTGTCACCTGGGCTGGAATGCAATGGCATGATCTTGGCTCACTGTAACCTCTGTTCCTGGGTTCAAGCAATTCTCCTGCCTTAGCCTCCTGAGTAGCTGAGATTACAGGTGTCTGCCACTACACCTGGCTAATTTTTGTATTTTTAGTAGAGATGGAGTTTCACCATGTTGCCCAGGCTGGTCTCGAATTCCTGGCCTTAAGTGATCCACCCACCTTAGCCTCCCACATTGCTAGGATTACAGGCATAAGCCTGTGTCCCTCTCTGACCTGCCCTTGATCCCACAACTGGAAAGACAAGTGGGCAGGAACACACTGGTCCTCTGGCCTTCCTAGGCTCCTCCCACCTTCCCAGGCAAAGACCATTTTAGAAGGAAGTTAAGAGTGGAAGCCTGAGAAATAATAACGACAATAACAACAATTTAGTGCTTACCCCATAAGGGGACCTGTTCCAAGCACTTAATCCTCACAACCAGCTTCTTATGAGGTAGGAGCTATTATTACCAAGCCCATTTTACAGATAAGACAATTGAGTTGCAGTGAAGGTAACTGACTTGCCCAGGGTCACAGGGGAGTTCTTGCAGACCCAGGATGTGGATGTAGGCAGTCTGGCTGGGCCCCAGAGTCTGCTGTTCTGTTTGGTTTGGGAGCAGAAATGTGCTCAGGACAGAAGGAATGTGAGTTAGGACAGAGCAGAGGCTCAAAACAAACCTGTGACTTGTGCCTCCCTTACACTTCCAGGGAGAGCTAGGGGGCTTGGTCAGAGTGGTAGGGCGGGGGTGGGGGAAGAGGTGCACCAACAGGGGACACAAATCCACTCAATTCCTGGGAGGATGAGGAGTCAGGTGTGGATGGACAGACCAGAGGATGTCAGTGCCATTCTGTGCCAGCCCAGCCTGGCCCCACCTCTAAGATGAAAAACATGGCCTCTGACCCGAAGCTGCTCCCAGCCCAGCCAGAGAGCCCAGCATAATGTAATCTGCTTTGGGCCGCATCTCTACAGATGCTATGCAGAGCATTCAGTCCTGAGTCCCAGATCCTCCTCGACCTCCTCTCGGGACTCACACACCCAGCCCACTGTCAATGAGGGAGGGGAAGGTCAGAGATGGGGAGATGCCTGGTATGCCCTTCCTCCTTTCTCTGCCTTCCACCTTCTTAACTCATACTTGTCTTTAAAACCCAGCTTAGACGCCAGTGGCCCCGGGAAGCTTCAGACTCCCAGGTTGGGTAACAGCCCCTCCTCTGGGCTTCTGGGGGCATTCTAGTCTTGCCCCAGACTCAACACTGTCTCTTTGTCTTGTACCTGTGAACTCCTTTTGGGAAGGGACCCTAGAAGGGCCATGTCCCCATCCCTGGTGCCTGCACAGTCTGGCACAAGGAATGTCAACTTGGTCATTTCTTCCAAAAGGAAGGCTGGTGGTGATCATCAATCTGGGCAGACCATGGTCTCAGGGGCAATGTGGACTGATGGTAAAAGCCCAGGCTCTGCAGATGTGGTTTGAATCCCAGCTCTTCCAGCCCCTGCCTGCATGCCTGGGCATGGGTCCTGATCTCTCTGAGCACTGCTATAGCCCCTCATGGGGTTAAAGTGAGACCATCTGGACTGAGGGCTCAGCACGGTCCCTGGTACACACAGAGCTCAGTGTGCATTCCCCACTACTATCATGCACACCAGTCAGGTTTCCTCCCGTCATGGGAAGCCAGCTCCAGTGTCCCAATCTTCTCTCTGCATTCCAGTGCCACAGGAAACCCTTGGGGACCCCTTGGTGGGCACTTCTAAAATACCCTGTCAGCATACAGAGTGGGATGACACCCAAGCTTTGATTCTGAACCCTTTGAGTGCAGAGCCCCTCAGTGGAATTTTCCAAGTGGCTTTTATTTAATAAAAGCAAAAGATTACTTTTATGTAATCAAATATAACTTTAGGCCCATAGGCTTAAAGGATCAGTAATGAATGTATGTGCAGGAAGGTTGGAATTATGTATAATGAAGCATCGATTGGCAGTCTCGCCAAGTTGAAATATCTGGTTTGGAGCCCATTTGACAAGATGGGGAGATCTTGAATAGCAGAAACAAGTGCATAGACTCTGGGGTGTTAGAGCCCTGGCTTTAAATCCTGCTCATCAGCTGTGCACCTCTAGGTAATAATGCAATCATTAGTATTTATTGAGGTCTTACTATGTGTCAATACCAAGCTAAATGCTCCACATTCCCGATGCCTCTAGTTTTTATATCCACTCTATGAAGTAAGTATTCCCATTTTATTGATGAGAAAACTGAGATTCAGAGAAGAGAACTCACATGCCCAAGCCACGTAGCTCATAAGGGGCCAGGGTTGGGTATGAACCCTGCATGCGATCACTGCCTCCAAGACCTTGCAAACTTGCAAACTCACAAACCCCTCAGAATATGTTTGTTCTTCCATAGATTGAAAAAATACTCTACAAGATTGTTATGGGGCTTGTTCAAAGTGCCATTTAAGTTGTCCACACATCAGAGGGGTTATATTTGTGTCTGTCTTCACACCAGACTCGCGTGGTCTCAGAGCCTGCATCTCATTCATGGTTCCCACAGGGCCCAGAGAATAATCAGAGAGAATGATGATGTCTTCTCTGAGCCTCAGTCTCCCTATTTCTTAACACTAAAGTAATAAAACCTGCCTGGAAAAGTCTCCAGGAAGACTAAATAACAAGAAGGAATTAAAGTTCTTGGCACATAGCAGGTACTCTGGGCAGGTCGTCTGTTTTCCCTGTGCCCACACTACCTGAAACAGGGTTTTTTGGGTCCTGACCTGGTAGTAGTTTTGGATCCTGACCTGGTAGTGGATTGAGCCATCCATGTTCCTCCTTTGTCTCTTCCTTCACTCATGCCCAACTCCAGCCATCAGCTAAGGATGTGCTGGGGCAGGTGAGGGGTTAGAATGAAGCACTTGACCTGGGAAGAGTCTGTTGATCTGGGTTCTAGGGGCTTCATCCCTTCCTGGCTGCATAACCTTGGCTGAGCATCAGCCTTTGTGAACTTCTGCTTCCTTTTCTGTACAATGGGAAAAAGAACAACAGATCTTATTTCTGGCCAGATCCTCTCAACCTTCTGGTTCTTAGCCCTGAATCCAGTTGCTGCTTTTTTTTTTCTTACCTGTAGGTGTTTCTAGCTGTGCACAGGGACTGATTGGCTGAGGACTCACACTGGAGAGCTCCAGACAACATAATAGTGAACGGTGAGGAAGCCCTTGTAGTCTGAACTCCAAAGGGGATCAGTGACCACTGACAGGGTGGGTGCATGGGGGATCACAGCAAGGCTGTCCACTCGGTTTTAGAAGTGTGGTTGGAACCAAGTTCACAGCACCATGTACCTCTTCTTTATTGCACTTAGCATTATTGCAATGTTCCCATTATTCGAGGGACTTTTTGATGAACAATTGTCTCCCCCACTAGACTGTAGAGAAAGGGAGGGCCCCAAACAGGCAGAAAACGTGGTTGTCAAAAGGATAGACCCTGAAGCTTGGATTCGAATCACAGGTCTGCCTTTTCCTAGCTGTAGGACTTCAGGCAAGTGACATAAAGTCTCCATGCTTCAGTTTCCTATTTGTAAGATGAGGTTCATAACCCATCTACCTCACTAAGTTGTTGTGAAGATTAAGAGAGTATAGAATGCAGTGCCTGGCATGTAGGAAGTACTGGAAAGGCATTTGTTCAATAAATAAAACAGCAAAGAAGGAAGTGGTTAAATCACAAAAACTGGACTTGCTCAGGGCCCGGGAGGACATTGTTGGTCTTGCTGGTGTTGGTCAACCTCTTAAAGCCAGCTCTAGGTTCCCCTAATGGTCCCTGTCTTCTCTTGCAGAGAATGGAGTATGAAGATTATAACACCTCCTTCAGTTATGATGATGAATACCCTGATTATTTAGACACCATTTTTTTTTTGGAGGAGTCAGCCCCCTTGGGAGCCAGGGTGACCAGGATCGCCATGGTGGTGGTCTACATCATCATCTGCTTCCTTGGGATCCTGGGCAATGGTCTGGTGATTATCATTGCCACCTTCAAGATGAAGAAGACGGTGAACACGGTCTGGTTCCTTAACCTGGCAGTGGCAGATTTCCTGTTCAACATCTTCCTCCCGATCTATATCACCTATGTCGCCATGGACTACCACTGGGTTTTTGGGACGGCCATGTGCAAGATCAGCAACTTCCTTCTCATCCACAACATGTTCACCAGTGTCTTCCTGCTGACCATGATCAGCTTCGACCGCTGCATCTCTGTGCTCCTCCCTGTGTGGTCTCAGAACCACCGCAGCGTTCGCCTGGCTTACGTGGCCTGCATGGTCATCTGGGTCCTGGCTTTCTTCTTGAGTTCCCCATCTCTTGTCTTCCGGGACACGGCTGACAATCATGGGAAAATAGCCTGCTTCAACAACTTCAGCATGTCCGCAGCTGGGTCTTCCTTGTGGTCTGCTCAACCCCAGGTGAACCGTGTGGGGTACAACTGGCACCTGGTGGTGACCATGACCCGCTTCCTCTTCGGCTTCCTGGTCCCAGTCCTCATCATTACAGTTTGCTACCTCACCATTGTCTGCAAACTGCGGCGCAACCGCATGGCCAAGACCAAGAAGCCCTTCAAGATCATTGTGACCATCATCATTACCTTCTTCTTCTGCTGGTGCCCCTACCACACACTCAACCTCCTGGAGCTCCACCACATTTCCATCCCTACCTCTGTCTTCACCCTGGGTTTTCCTCTGGCCACTGGCTTCGCCATTGCCAACAGCTGTATAAACCCCATTTTGTACGTTTTCATGGGTCAGGACTTCAAGAAGTTCAAGGTGGCCCTCTTCTCCCGCCTGGACAATGCTCTAAGTGAAGACACAGCCCACTCTTCCTACCTCAGCCATAGAAGCTTTACCAAGATGTCATCAATGAATGAGAGGACTTCAGTGAATGAGAGGGAGACCAGCATGCTATGAGCCTCACTGGGGAGCCCCTCAGTGGACCTTCTCAACCCAGGGGCACTTAAGGATATGTCTTCTGAAGATCAAGGCAAGAACCTCTTTAGCATCCACCAATTTCCACTGCATTTTTCATGGGGATGAACAGTGTTTTACACTGGGAATCCAGGGCCTGGGACCCCTTTCTCCAAGTGGACAGAATGCACTGTGTTCCACACAGCCAAGGCTGGTCTCCCATTTATGCTTCCTGGGAGACCAGACTTGACTGACTCAAAGTAAACAAGAAAGAATTCTCAAAAGCACTGCCATTAACTGGGATTGGCATGAGGCAGTGGGATTAAGCTGCCTACTGTGTGTGCCCCAGAATGACACAGACACTCTCCATGGTCCATTCCTGCTGTGAGCAGTGGGAGGTCAGAGCAAACCTAGTGTGACACAGAGCACACCTGGCCCTTGTCTACCTATTATGAGTGGCCTATTATCACTGGCCAGAAAGCCCTACCTTTAAGTCACTCCTCTGCATTAAAGCATGTGGAAACGCATAGGTGATCTGGGAGAGGAAGGTGCCATATCAGCCCATGAACTCCATAGACCGTGAATTTGGCTTTTGGATCAGCTAGGAAGACAGAGAACAGGTTCTGAGAGGTCATGTGGGCTCTTCGCAAGGGAAGACAAGTGAGGGATGCAACAAGGACTTGAGATTTGGCAAAGGAATGCGAAAGAAGAAAAGAACCTTCAAAAGATGCAGGCATCAAGCAGCTCACCCTAGAACATCACAGGATGATGGTGCTTCACGCTGGAGCTATTGTGGGGTGAGGGTGGTCCCAGCCCCTGAGCTCACCTTGCCCTTCTTACCTGGGGGTGGGGTTGTGGCAGGCATCTTCACCAGCAGCCCTCACCTCATCACAGGGATTCTTTCGGCCTTTCCTAATCCACTCAGCTCTGGCCGGAGGGGCTTAGAATAAAACACTGGTGGTGGGGCTTCTCCTTCTGGTTAATTTTCTCAATGCCTTTGGAGATGGGTCCAAAATACAGCTTTGGGAAGCAACTCTGGAGAGTCCACTTGGAAGAAGAGTATGTCCGAGGGTTCAGTCACTTGAAAGAGTCTGAAACTGGACTCCTTGAACTGTGGTCCCGAGCTGCAGACACCAAATACCTCCTGGATATAGATGCCTGGCATAGCTTTTTTCATCTAATATTGACACGTCCCTGTGGCACAGAGTGTCATTGCCCCATTTACAAATGACATAGCTGAGGCCCAGAGGGGCAAAGTAAGTTGCCCAACATCACACAGCTAATCAGTGGCAGAGTTAAGGTCTGAACCTGGCTCTGTCTGGCTCCAGAAACTCCTTTCCTCTATTTGGAGTTTCTCTGTGGAGATGATTCTAGTGTATTGAAAGCCTACATTTATTTAGCACTTTTTGTATTACGCACTTTACATATGTTTTCTCATTTAATCATTACATCAACCCTGAGTTAGGTACTGCTACAACTTCCCTTTTACACAGGAGGAATCTGAGGCTCAGAGAAGTTAAGTAAGTTGCCCAAAGATACCCAGCTAGTCTCTGCCAGAACTTGGATTTGAACCTCAGTCTACCTGGCTCAAATGAGGCTGCAGAGTCAGGAAGGACCTAAAGAGGTTGGAGATTTTTACCATAAATATTGATTCTTCTGCAAAAGAATGTGAACATCTTAATGGCCTTTAAGAAGCTTTGTAAATAATTTTCAAAAATGATGCAACATGGCAGAGAAAATGCACTTGGCTTCCAGCTTGCTCAGCAGCCATTAACAGCCCCCTACCGTGGCTCCACCTCCTGCGTCTCCTGAGATGAAGGCAATGGGGAGGGAGGGCTGGCAGGAGGCAGTCCCTTGTGGGCCCGAGTCCCTTTGGCTCCTAAGTGTCCACGTTCTGTTCTCTTCCAAGTCCTTTCATCCTTAAGCTGATTCTCCACCAAGATGCAACGAACAGATGCAATGTCTACCCTGTGCTGGGTGAGTTCCCGAGGCCACGGGCTGTTTGGAATCACACTTCATTAAAAGACAAACTGTTCCTTCCCTTGTTGTGCCTTAATGCTTATGACAAGGCAGCTCTGAATTGACCCCAAGCTGGAGCCTCTGAATGTTTTAAAGAGTTTGAATATAGACAGTTTGAGAGCAAAAAGGGAGCTTTAAATATTGCTCAGTGGCCCCCATCATCGCTCTTCCCATGTTTACTGAGGCACGAGATGGTGTGGGATCTGTCCCAGGTCACAGCAGCAGTCATCAGCAACTTGGGCCTCTTGGCTCCTAGGATGCTGCTTTTCCTGGGCTTCTGGGAGTCCAGGCCAGGCTGGGGGAGCCAGGAATTCATGTTGTCATCAGAAAAGATGATCAACAGGAGCACAATTCAAACCCACTGTTTTCCTCCTTAGAGTCTGGCCTCCCTCTTTCTGGATGCTCTGCTGGTCTTCCTGTTCTAACTTAGGTTCCTGTCAAGTACTTAAATGCAGCCAGAGGGTCCCGTACAGTCTTGTCCCCACAGCTTCATGTGACCCTCTCCATGGGTCATGCATATGTCATCCCTGCAGTGTGCAAAGTGTGCTCACCTGCATTGTTGCGCAGGCAACCAACACACTTAGTAACCAGAGCCTTCTCTCTAGACCCAGGACTCAGTGATGGGGCCTTATTTAACCCTTCCTTCTGGGTGGGGTGGGCGGGCCAAGGGATCATGAGGACCAGAGGTAGAGGGAGAAGAAGAGAAGGCAGTGTTTGAAGATGGGGGAGGGACAGGAGAGGGGACTGAAAGGTCCCGGAGCATGATGATGAAGGAAAAGGATCTGACATTCATGAAGCACCTACGATGGTTCAGACACAAACCTGAAAACCTAAAATTGGCCGGGGCAGAAGAGGATCATCATAGCAGGGTGCGGTGGGGGCGCAGAAAGTGAGGGTTCAAGAACAGAATTCACTAGCTCAGAGTTGCACAGCTAGTGAGGTATGGAGCTGGGCTTTGAATCAAGTCAGCTGCCTGAATGCCCAACTTCTTCAGCCCTTGGAAGGAGAGGGTTGGGGGAGGAAGAAGGAAAAGAAGGAGGCGGAGGAAGAAAGAAGAGAGAGGAGGAGAGAAATGAAGTCAAAAGAGAAAGAGGAATTAGATTTCAGAACTATCTCCAGCTGACTCTTGAGCCAGCAAGGACAGGGAGCAGGGAAGAGCAAGAACACGAAGGGCCTCAGGCACTGGGATGCCTTTGCCAGCCTTAGATAATTTCCAGGGTACACAGAGCCCTGCAAGTTTTCAGGCTCCCTCTCCAGAGAATAGGCACAGAGATTCTGGCAGCAAGGTTTAGAAGGGGTGAGGAAACTGGGCACTGACCAAGGGAGGGGATTGGCTCAAATTCGACCCCAGAGTTAGCTCTAGTGGGATTGGGAGCCTGGATGAGTGAGAGAAGATAGAATCCAATCATGAGAACAGCAAGGGACCTTCAAATTCATCTTGTCCAGATGTCTCCCATTTTGCAGTTGAGGGCACTGAGGTTTTGAGAGATTCCCTTTGAGGTCTCTGCAAAATAAGGTGATGTTTGGTTTGGATGGAAATGGTCAGTGATTCCTCAACTCCTGCCCTGCCTCCCTCTCTTGTTCCTCCCTGACATGTTACACTCTTGTTGGGGCTGGGATGCCCTAGGACCATGGTTACCAAATCCTGGGTTTGGAAAATTGCTGCTGGGTGTGCTATCTAGGACCAAAGAGGAATATACTATTTCTACTGTGAACTAATTCAGCAGGGGGTGTGCTTACTTCCTCCCTTTGAGGAAAAAGTTTCTCTCAAATAAAGAGACCGAAGCAAGAGTGTGTGGCTCAGTTCTGGAGGTTCCTGCCATCACCTGCCCATTGCCTTCCCCACTAACTTCATACAGTAGCAGCTGAGGCTCAGAGAGGTGACGTGGCCAGTGCAAAGTCACAGAGCTATGCTGTGGACAACAGGAGAAGGCCTGAAGTCCCCAACCTGCCATTCTTAAACCGTTGAGTTCCAAGGACTTTGCATTTTGAAAAAAATTCTTTTTACTTATTTTACTTTTCTAGCAATTGAGTTACTCACCCAAGATAGTAAAGCAAACCACAGCAGATAAGGGACACAAAGCCACGCCTCCATATGGCCAGGTCTACACTCTTTGGCACTGCATCAGGTGGCCCAAGGACAGATGCTTCTGCAACACATTCATCCATTCATGTTTTCACCCGCCCATTCACCCTAACATCCACCCACCCATTCACCCCAAGGTCTACCCATGCACCCATTCACTCCAAGATCTACCCATCCATCCACCCACCGATTCACCCCAACATCCACTCATACATTAACTCATTCACCCTAAGATCTACCCACCATCCACCCATCCATTCACCCTAACATCCACCCACTAATTCACCCTAATATCCACTCACACATCCACCATCCATTCACCCTAATATCCACCCACCCGTCCACCCACCCATTCATCCACTCATTCACCCCAAGATCCACCCACCGATTCACCTACCCATTCATCCCAACATCTACCCACCCATTCACCCTCTCATTCACTCCAAGATCCGCCTACCTATCCACTCACTCATTATCTTAAGATCAACTCACCCATCCACACCGAATCCACTCATCCACTCACCCAGCCATTCATCTCAGCATCCACCTAACCATCCATCCATTCACCCATTCTTTTATGTAACCACCAGTTCATCCATTCATCCACTCATCCATATCTATCCACCCATTCATCCCTTCCATTAAAATGTATTTAATGGCCGAGTGTGGTGGCTCACGCCTGTAATCCCAACACTTTGGGAGGCCAAGGTGGGTGGATCACGAGGTCAAGAGATTGAGACCATCCTGGTCAACATGGTGAAACCCCATCTCTACTAAAAATACAAAAAATTAGCTGGGCATGGTGGCGCATGCCTGCAATCCCAGCTACTGAGGAGGCTGAGGCAGGAGAATTGCTTGAATCCAGGAGGCGGAGGTTGTGGTGAGCTGAGATCGCGCCATTGCACTCCAGCCTGGGTAACAAGAGTGAAACTCTGTCTCAAAAATAAATAAATAAAATAAAATGTGTTTAACACCTGCTCTTTGCCTAATTCTGTGGTAGGCACGGGACACAGAGAGATGATCAAGATATACACAGTCTCTGTCCTCCTGAGCTCATTCATTGGCTTATGGGAGAGACAGCCAGTAATCAAAATTATACACTTCACCCAATGGAAAACAACACCAGTAAATGTTACACACACACACACACACACACACACACACACACACACACACGGGGGGGAGCGGGGGAGTCTCACTCTGTTGCCCAGGCTGGAGTGCTATGGCACAATCACAGCTCACTTTAGCCTTGAGCTCCCCAGGCTCAGGTGATCCTCCTATCTCAGCCTCTGGAGTAGCTGGAACCTAATTTTTGTTTTCATAGAGACAAGGTTTCTCTATGTTGCCCAGGCTGGTCTTGAACTCCTGGGATCAAGTGACCCTCCTGCCTCAGACACCCAAAGTGCTGGGATTACAGGCTTGATCCATCGTGCTAGGCCTACACACACATTATAGAGGGATCCAATCCTTGACAAAGACCTTGGGGAGGAGACACTTGCTCTGACATGTGGAAGGTGGGTGGGCACGGATGTGGTAGGGAGGTGCAGGAGGAGAGTGGTCTGGGTGGAGGCGATGGCAGGGGTAGTGGCATTGATGCAGGAGGGAGCGGTGCTCACTGTGACAGGGAGGAGGTGGGGGCTGCAAGGGGGCTGTAGGATGAGCGAGACCAGATGGGGGTGGAGTGGAAGGACTGGGCAGTGGGGGAGACCTTCGGAGGCGTGGCAGCCATGTGCAGAAGAGTGCCATGCTCAGATCTGCATGCTGGAACAATGCCCCTAGCTGCTCTGGGGAGGGCAGGTTAGAGAGGGGCAGGAGGGGAAGCCTGGAGGCTGCTGTAGCCTCAGATGAGCTATGGTGGAATCTGGACTGGGGAAACAGGGGTGATGCGGGAGAGAAATGGACTGTTGGAAAGATATTTAAAAGCTATGCAAGCTTTCTCAGGGGAGTGGTTAGTGGGAAACCAACCCAGGGCCCATTTCTGCTGTACAGAGGCCTCAGTGCACTGCTTTATTGTCAGAAATTAATTGTAAATATTATTCAAATGTACCTCCCAATGCACAATTATATTTCTCAGGGGAGCCCTCTGTACACATAATAAAGCCCTATAAATAATACATATATTAACCTAAGAGGAACAGAGGCATATTAATGCTGCAATTGCAGGTTGTGCTGTGGGGACTTTATACAGATGAGCTGCCAAGCACTTGGTCTTGGGGTTTAACCTTGGAGGTCACCTGAGTTCTGTCCTGGGGAATCTTCCAGAAGTCTCTCCCCCTGGGATATGGGGATATCCCCAGACAAGTCAGGCAGCTACTGCTCTAGACATCAAGTCAACAGACAGGTGGAGGCAAGATGAGAATTGGTTAAGGGAGGAAGAAGCACAGGTTTATACACTTTCTTTGTGCTCAAAGATGCAGAAACAGCAACTGCAGTAATAATAGCAAATGTTGATTGAGGCTTGTCTAAGTTTCGGACAAGCTCTTCAGTTTCATCAACTCATTGAATCCTTGGAACAAAGATTCAATGGAAGGGGTGATTGCTATCTCCATACACAAGTGAAGAGACTGAGGTTCAGAGAGGTGAAGTGACTTTGCCCGATGCCACACAGCTGGTAAGCAACAGAGCTGGGATTCAAACCCCAGTATGTTTATCTCAAAAGCTCTTGGTATTTTCCCCAGAAATGTGCAAATGTAAAGTGTCTTCTGAAGAGACTCTTCCCTGGAGAGAGGAGGACAAGCACATATTCTCTCTCCAGTGTCAAATTTTGAGGAGGTGGGAGCTGGGGAGTCTGAGGAATTGCTTTTTCCTCGAGAGGAGGAAATTGCATTTGAATGGGCTTGTCACTTTCTCACAACCCTGGGCAGCTTAGGGTTTTTGAGTGTGGAAAAAACTCTACTTCCCCAAGTTTGTCCCTCCCCATTCCCACATTTCATAGATGGTGAAACTGAGACCTCTTTGCCAATAAGATGGAGACCACTCACTGATTGCTGTGAGAGGAGAGATTGTGAAAATGTTCATCTGAAAACACCATCACCCCAGAGACCTAGCCATTCACCAGCCACCCTGCTTCACTTCTTAGTTCATTGACAAGGACTGTGGTGCTGATGTGCTGTAAAGCCTTTCTGCCTGGGGTCTGGACTCCACTGAGGAGTTTCCAGCAGAATCCTGGCTGAAGGGGAAGTGGGAGATCTTGGCAAAAACTGCTATAGGGCAGACGTGCTTGGTTTGAGACATAAACGTTATGCTTAAAGATTGTCCTGAATATGAGGGAGGGATGCCCCCCCATCTTGACCTAGGTAGTGGTTACACGGGATAAGGGGTGGGGAGGTGGGGTTCATCTATAAAAACCCATGTATCTGTACTTTGAAGATGAATCTTCACTGTAGTAAGTTATGCCTCAGCAAAAGCCTTTCTAAAAATAAAATGATTCGTGATGCCTGCAGAAATGAGTTTCCATCTCCACTGGTACCCAAGACAGGTAGTGGCAGGACAGAACCAGGTCTGAGGGTTTGTCCCTGATTCAAGGGAGCTCTTTAGAGGGCAGTGGCTCCTACAGCGTCCATCCAAAGACGCAGAGTCTCAGGAAGGACTAAGCCCTCCTGGGGCTTCCCCAGCCTCACCACCTGACTCAAAGTGCTGTTGATGGTTATGACAGGGTGTCAGGCAGGCTCAGGAGTCAGACTGTGAAGACTTGAATCCAAGCTCTGCTATTTACATCAGCTAAGGGCAGGGTTAGAGTTAAGCTCTGTGGCCTTGGGCAAGCTATTCAATGCCTCCAAAGCCTCAGTTTTCTCATCTGCAAAATGGGCTTGATAAAGATTTGCAGCTCTCAGGGTTGCTGTGAGGATTCAGTGAGATGCCACACTTCAGTGCCTCCTCTCTGGCCTCCCCACTTCCATCTTTGCTCCCACAACCCGCGCTGTAGGAAGCAGCCAGAGTGAGCTTCTATCAAAGAACACAGTAATCCAGAGCCCTTCCAATGGCATAAAAACAACCCGCGCTGTAGGAAGCAGCCAGAGTGAGCTTCTATCAAAGAACACAGTAATCCAGAGCCCTTCCAATGGCATAAAAACCCATATTGGATTGGCTGCTGCCACCTTCTCTAAGTTCATCTCATGCTGCTTTCCAGCTAGGTGATCCTTTCTGCCTCTCACAAACAGAACAGACCAACAGCAACAAGACACCAAGATTGACCCTACCTCTGACCCTTGCACTTGCTGTTCCTGCTGTTCCTGGGCACACCTACCTCTGTCCTTTACATGACTGGTTCGTCTGCCTCCTTCTGGTCTCTGTCTAAATGCCATCTCTTCAGGCAGGCCATCCCTACTCGCTGCCTGTCAGTTCCCTTTTTTTGTATTAGTATTTTCTTTATATTAGTGACTGCCATCTGAAATCATGTTATTATTTGTGTATTTAGTGGCTTTAAGGCTGGCCCCTACTTGGATATAGCAAGAAGGCAGGGACTTTGGCCATCTTACTCTGTCTCCAGCAGTGCTTAGCCCAGAAAAGCTGCTCACAACCTTTGGTTGAATGAATGAAGACATAACCATAAGCTGACATTATTTTTGTCATCATCATCATCATCACTGAGTCTCATGACAATCACTGTTATAATATACCACTTCCAAAGTATTTTCACATTTTTTTCCTATCTCAATGAAATTTGAGAAGGGTGGAACTTTTCCCCATTTCACCAACATGGAAA